TTTTTTTTTTTTTTTTTTTTTTTTTTTTTTTTTTTTTTTTTTTTTTTTTTTTTTTTTTTTTTTTTTTTTTTTGCTATGATTGAAGATCATAGTTTTGGTTTTTGTTCTAATAAAGTAGAATTCTATACTCCATTTTAAGGTGAAGCAAAGAATTCCCTCAGCAGCCCGTTTCCATAATTTGATGGCCAAAGGGACAATATTGTGGCAATGGGATCAGCATTGATCGTAGTCCATCTGTAATTCCCAAATCAAGTTGGTACGAGTGTGGATCAAATATAAATGAGACTTTTTTAACACTAGATTGCCTAAGGAAGTCATTTTGACTGCTTTTAATTTCAATTAGAAAAGCAATGATGTATATAATGACACAAATTCTTAGAATTTTGTGACTTTTTGTACAGCATAAATTTTTTTTAATTTTTAATATTTACTAATAACTTGTTATATAACTGTAAATATTATAAAAAATTTTAAAAATTAATTTTAAACAAATTTATTTACGCATTCACAATCCAGTCATTTTGACTGCTTTTCGGCAATCTAGGTATAGACTAATTTTCCGTCTTTCTAGTGTTAATAACTAAATATTAAAATATTACTAACAAAAAATTCAAAAGTGTTAATTTTCTAAATAACTTCCATTAACTTTGACGCAATTTTTCCATCGTTTTAGAATTTTTTTTTAATTCTGGTGGCATAGAAAGAAGTAGGCTGTGTTGTAAACCAATTGCGCACAAAATCTTTTAACTCTTCAGTGGATGAAAATCTCTCGCCCACAAGGCATCTTTAAGGAGAGCAAACAAGTAGTAGTCCGAAGGTGCCAAGTCCGGGATAAATAGAGAATGTGTAACTTTTGTTATGTGGCTTCATAAGGCATACCTGCCAACTTTTAATTCCTTCCATTATCATTTTTCTCAGTGGTATTCAAATGGAATTAAAACTTCAATTTTAAGCAAACAAATACGCTTGCATTTGAAAAAACTTAAGTTGACAACCATAATAGTACCGCATATTAATATATGTGCTTAATTTTGAAAGAACAGTGGTGATCAAAATCATTTAAAAATTAAGTTTATAAAATAAAAAATAGTATATATTTACTACCACTTTAAATATGAAAATAAAATCTTCCGGAAAATCCAAAAGAGTTGGCAGGTATGATATGGTGTCAGCTTGTCCAGTTAAAAGAGAATTTTGGGAATGTGCATGCCATATCTCTTGAAGCGATAGACTTCTTTGACTTTCCCTAAAAGTTCACAATAATAATTTACATTAATTGTTTGTCATTAATGAAGAAAATCAACGTACACAACCTCTCGTAAGTCCCAAAAAACACTTGTGAATGCTTTACCAGCAGTTAAACGAGATTTTGAATTGAGCAGATTTATTTTTCTTACGCCATTCCATATTGGAACGCTTAGTTCCTGGGAGTAGGTATGGACCCAAGATTCAGCACAACTTTGCGTACATCATTTGCATACTTGGCCTCTCGACTTGATATCATTGCCGAAATGCGTCTGTAATCTGCGCAAATTCCAATAGGTTTTATATCTTCGTTTGTTAAAAATTTAATTATTGTGCGTTGTACAATTGCACTAAGAACATTAGGCTTGCTCATGGTTCAATCTACAATAAAAAGAACTTACGAGGAACTTAACACTGTCAAATAATTATAAAGTTCTATTGTTGCCATGACAACGAGAATAAAAATCGTGTGATGCTATTAAAAAAGTCTCATTTATATTTGATCCACCTACGTATAAAATGTTACGAAGCTGTTTGTGCCTCAAACCGCCACTAAGGATCGAGCCCCAATCCTTCAAAATGATAGTTCAGTGCTTTAACTACTGAGCCACCGCATTTCTTACTCCATTTAAGTCTACTTATAGTCATTTTAGCATTTCAATTTTAGTTTGTTTTCGTTCCTAATTTTGCGACTCCTAACTTCGTTTCGTAATTTTGCGTTCCTTTTCAAATTTTTTTACTTAAAAAACGTCAGAATATCTATTGGAGATAAAATATCAAACATTTTGCTTTCGATATTTGGTAAATTATTTTCCTTCGAACTATCATCAGGTCCATTTAATAATTAAACAGGAAATAGTCGGAATTAGTGTCGTCTAAGTGAATTTCCTTTGACAATTAACTATTTAGAAATAACATAACGATACCAAGTAACCATTGACATAGATAAAAACTTGATCCGCTTTGTAAAAAGAAATATTTTCTAGTGGTAACAAAAACTGAGTTATTTTTAGCTAATATTTTTCATTCTAAGTCATTTTTCCACCACTATATACAAAAAATTCAAATGATCAATTGAAATCCAACTTTGTTGTAGTATTTTGTGGTGGCACTTTTAAAAAGTCGGCGTAAATGTTCTTATTCTACAGTTTAATTTTTAACCTTTTTTTAAAACTTTTGCAAAAAGAAAAGCAGTTGGCATCTTTGCATTGAAACTTGTGTTCTCATTAAACACAGAGTCGCAGATAAAATTCAATCTCATGAGCAGGTCAAAAATGTAGCAAAATATCTATTAATGATAAGATTAAGACAATATCTGCTTTAAGCTGTTGAGAAATGATAGAAATTTATATTGTTGTCTTGTATAGAGCAGCAGTTATAAATTTATCTATTTAGCAAATCGGAACGTAGCCATGATTTTGGTTGGCAATAATGAAATATTAAATACTGCTTTTCTATGTTTAGGAAACGATTCAACTTTAATTCGATTTCTAGCTGTCAGAACTTGTATTGCCGTCCAGTTGAGAGTCTTAATTTAAATGTAAGTGCTCTAGTAGGTCTTTAAATGGCCAGAATTTCGGTGCACGATAAATTTGATCTAGGGATAAAATGTCAGTATTTTTTCTCACACTTATCAGAAACTAGTTGAAACTTATATTGTCATCGAGCAAGGAAACGCAGTTACATTTTGGGGATTTTAACTAGTCAATAAAAAAGTTCACATTTTGATTGCAAGATAACATCATTACAAACACGAAATATCGATAATAAGAATAATAAAAAATGTTTGTAACCTCATTATTTTAACATCTATTTACCACGCATAACATCTGTTTACCACGCATAATATCTATTTACCACGCCCGGGGGCTGAGTGGTAGCGCTTCGCGCTCCCGTGCCACAGGTCCTGGGTTCGATCCTCGGGCTTGGCAAAGTTGACTTAGCCTTTCATCCCTTCAGTGGGTCGATAAATGAGTACCAAGCATGCTTGGGAACTAGACACTGGGGGATTTCGCGTTTGGCTGACCACCTGACCGGAACATCTGCTCCTGCACCCCATAGCCCAAGGTCAGGAAAACTGAGATGAGCACAGTAGGCCTTGGCCCTCTGTGGGCTGCCGTGCCACTGAGTTTAGTTTATTTACCATGCATGACAGACATATATTGTAGATAACGGAAACATGTTTTTCCTATTAACCGCTTAACTGGTCATTGTTCTTTTCTAAAATTTTGACAAAATAAGCAGTTTGGGTAAATCGGTTGAAGCTAACCTAGTGTAGCAGGCACGGTGTACGGACAAACCAGTTGGAGGGTGGAAAAGAAAATTTTTTTTTGATGTTTTAGAAAATTCTCTTTTTAACGGTTATTAAAATTATGAAAATCGACTGAACGAATAAGTGATCGACTGAATTAATACCAAGCTAATAAGTGATGCATGAATTTTAAATATTACGTGATTCACTGACTCGCTGACTCATGTGTTTGATTTCGTGACGCTGATCATGATAGGGGAATAATGTCGTAATTCCTTAAGACGCCATTTTGCTATATCACTATCACTCACAATCTAATCACTCATATGGTAATTTTGATTTTAGGAAAATTTCTGACAGTTTCTTCGAAGCACTCAAATCGAAATTCTAAGCCGAAAATACACTCCGATGCAATCAGTGGTAATTCGAAGAACTGTAGAGTAAGTATTTTCATTTACACGCAATCTATCAAAGCCTTTTCATTTTTATGTGTTTGTCTCATAAATGCCCTAATCATTTTTAATTAAATGCATCAATTATTATCAAGTTTGTAAAATTAAACTTATCCAACTAGAGCTTTAGATTCCTCAACTACGAATCATTTTTTTCAGAAAGGCAAATACTGTAGTAAAAGTAACATGATTTCAAGAACTCATTAGCTTACTTACTACTCAACACTCCATACCTCACCGCTCATGGCTACAGATTTCCAGCTCTAATAAATTTCTATCTTTTTCAGCCTCTTTTTACTAGCTTCCAACCATTTTCTGTTTGATCTTTTACACTCCAAGATATTAAGCTGGGTGACGCCAATGTTATGACAAGAAGCGCTAAATTAGCGAAAGTAAGAAAAAAATACCGCCAACTCTGCAGGAAAACGTAGTGCTGGCGATAAGCAACTAGCCTTTGTGTCTACCTCCACTTTCAGTTCTTGCTGAACAGAGTAAACGTGGCCTGAAGCCATCAAGTTTTGAATCGAAGGGCCTTTTCATAGCTCTATTATCACTCATTCGCTAAAATTAACCCGACCACTTCAGTCTCCATACCTTTATATCAGTGGCAATATCAATATTTCCATACTCTTACATAATTTCTCTGTAATTTCTAATATTCCAATCTCCATGATCATTGACAATTCCTATAGATCTTTACCTAACTCCTTCAGTTTAACAAACTATCTTGATCCTCTTCCTTCAAATTTCAGGATTTGCTTGATACAGAAGCACAATTGTGAGCAAAAAAGCCTCATACAATAGCAATTTGCTATTAAGTAAGTCTGTCCATAAGCAGTTTTTGACACATTTCTGTATTAACGCTCAATTATTCACCGTTAATATTCTATCCGTCCATTCAAGACTCAGTTTCTCCCATTTTGAATAACGAAAGTTTTGGGTTTCATTATAGCAGCGTAGCGATCAGCAAAAGTGTAGGATGTGTTGCTATTGACTGCATCCTACACTATCAATAATAACAAGAGAACGCAAAAAGTTTAATATAAAACCAAAAATTTCAATCCGTAGTCAAAGGAAAACCAAATTCTTTACAGGTCCACATACACAAATATCAACACATCAACAAATAGCATTCCAAATTATTGGATTGAAGATGGTACGTCATAAATGAATATAAGTAACAGTTACGGTTTAGTCCTTAGTGGACAGCGTAAATTAATTTAACTTAAAATAGGCATCATTCGTAAATCGTAAGAGCTAGAAGGTACAGGGGTTCGACAAAATAATGGAAACACTTCTATATTAACTCTCGTTTTGAAGTAAATGTTTTGGAAGATTAGGCAAAAATGTATGCACAATTTGAAAAATCATGCTTTAAGTCTTTAGAAACGGTGTTCTTATTATATATATATATATATA